TTTCATGAAATTGATGCATTTTCTATAACTTTTCCAGTTGATATTTTCTCCATTTTCTCCAAAGCTGATACTTTGAAACTTAAGAAGAGAGCAGTAAATGTGAAAAAGGAAAGGATGGTTGCAGTTCAGTGTCAAAAAATGGTCTCAATATTTGGTGATGTTTCGCGTTGTGAATGCCCAAACTTAGGATCGTGAAAATTGTTTGACTTACATCTGTTTCTCTTGAGATGACTCGGCCACAGCGTAGAGACAACTGATTAAACGTCTCAGCTGAAACGGCTTCTTCTGTCGGTCTGTGGACATTTCAAAACAGCAAGACAGAAGACGAAGCCAAATTTAGCTTTGTGTGGCACTGTACAGCAGTCACAAAGGGCTAAGGTGAATTCTGTCATCAAAAATGAAGACTTACATCCTTTGAGACGGTATTGAAATGAAGTATTTCTGTATTTCTTCACAGACACAATGAACCATTTCTACATACACACATGACACACACACCCCCACTTGTTTTTACATACAAAGTGTGGACATTCCTTTGTTCTCCTGTGGTTAAGGCAACTTGGGAAAAAAAGGCTCCTTTTTCTCCCACTAGGATAACTCCTTCAAGCTGGATTTTTCATGGTGATTTCCTGGACTGTTCCTCTTCATTTTGCCACTAATAACCTTGACCCCAAAATGCCTCTGAAACTGTTTTTCAGAGAGGGGAAAACATTGTGTGGATGTGTGCAAGTCCACACATCGCCATCATACTCTACATTATGTGGACTTCTTTTGTGCAGAGGTCCACGCAATGTATGACACAACTGTACAATAATTTTTCTATAGTTCACCCTTGGTTGAGGCCTTGCTCCAATCCCAGCATGCATTGCCACTGTTGCTGATACACTGGAAGCAACCATTCTGATAGAGGGGAGGCAAATAAGACAAGGATTATACATCAATGTAGTTGAAAAGTATTAGCCTGTCACTCTACAACTACACAACCAACCACCAGAAATCACTGTTCCTGAATACAATAAGTTCGAATTGGCCTTGAGGTTGCTTTCACTGTACAAGGGATGCATTCTAGGTTTCTGGGTAATAACCTGCAAACAATCGTTCAGATTTTCAAAGAGGCGATTTGTCTTACCGTTAGTTATGATGTGGTCTTTTTCTATATGTTTGCTGGCTGCTAGGTCATTGATGATGTGTTGCAGACGTACGCCACGGAATAAGGATACATACTTCTTGCCTCGTTCCGTCTCAAGGAACTCCCCTGGTTCTGAATAACCATAGATTGACCACAAACAAGACGTTTTACGTGCCTTCTGTTTTTATTATAATCTTGGAGTCTTTGACATGACTTTGTAACAACCAATAATCTGAATCTTGCTTTAAATCTAATCAACTCTAAGTACTTACTGTATGCCCTAAATAACATATCTGCATCTTTGCTGAGATTTTTGTAGTTACCGTTCCACGAAGGCATCAGTTTCAAAAACACAAACTGCAGGAAGACAAAGTCAAGGTTATTCAAATTTGTATATTAACCATCAAATCATGAAATCAATGTGGATTAGCCATCCCAAGAAGTCTGATTTGTAATAGACTTCAGGACATTTACCAAAAGTTGAATTTGAGCTGTGTATGATTATACTGTGCCAAGTGCAATTCGTAAAAGGAATATTTCCAAACCTATTCTAAACTGAAAAAAGCAACCGTCCGTACCTTTTTGACCAAGGAGTAAACATCCATCTCCACTTGCAGCACAAATAGACTTGGTGACCTGATGACCTTCTCAAATAACTCTAAACTGTTGGTCAAAGGTTAAATAAAAGTTAATTGATCACAAAGCCACATACCTACTTTTCACTCCAACTCATAGAGCCTGCCTCTCAGATGGTAACATCAAGCCCCATGCGTCCTAATAGTGATTAGGCTCTACCTTCCTCAATACTACAAAAAGCTTCCCTAATGTACGGCTGGATTTTTTAGCATTAGGGCTGACAACATCCAAGCTTACCTTAATTCTCGAAGCAAAGAGGCCCGTTGCATGTCCATCAGGTTATGCTCTAACCAGCTGATGCAGCTAAAAAAGGATAAAGAAGTCAACGTCAGGAGAAAGCTGAAATTGAGATTTTCATTGAGGAATAACTTTGTCCCAGTTAACAGCTAGTCATGATTGCTTGGTTGGGAATGTGAAGGGGGAGTCAGGTTGGCATAGTGGTTCTTTCCTCGCCTTCCACCTCTGCGGCCCGGGTTCGAATCCTGGCCCGGTCCACATGTGGATTGGGTTTTCAGTCCCTACCTGATGCCATGGGTTTTACCCAGAATATTCCTTTCGGGTTTCCTCCCACCTCTAAAACTGTAACTGCTTCTCGCGGGGGCGCTTTTGAGGAATCCTTGGTGTCATTACCAGAAATATATAATAATAATAAAAGACTTACTTTTGTGTGACCAGTTCTAAACCGTAGGCTGATGCAGCGGTGTGGTAGCAGCATACTGTCTTGGTGCTTTATGTGAGAAGGAAATAAAAAGAAAAGAAAGCTTATTTCAGTTTCAGTTATATTTTATATTTCAATCTGATGATGAGGCTGTATGTTACACCACATCTTTCACAAAGACAACCCTTTAATAAGGTCCAGTTCAGGTGGCCTGTTCTTGACACGGGTTTCTTGTTCTCACACTCAAACGGCGGGAACACGACTCAAGAATACTGAACAGGATCACACACCACTTCTTCATCACGGTTTACACACGGAAAACCCGTGAGATGTTGATTTTTGAACAGCTGCAAAAAGTCGAGAGATGGCTTACAAAGCCTAAGACAACAGGAAGTTTTAGCAAAATTAACATTCATTATTTTCACAGAAATGAATGTTCCTGTTTAAATAGAAAAGAATTCAGTCAATCTAAACATTAACTCTCAAATAACGTTCATGGACACCGCCATTTTGCATGTTGCTTGCCATTAACTGCCAGTAGCAATAGCTGCTTGTATGTTCCCGGCATTTGAGTGGCCGACCCACGAACAACAAATCGAATTGTTCGTGAACATACAAGAACAAACTGCAAGAACTCAGCTTAAATGGTGACACGTACATATTCATGAGCAGTTTGAATAACCAGAGCATGCAAATATGGTTGGAATTAATTAATTTACAAGCTTTGAATGCTAACTGAAGATTACCTTATTGTTTCTGTCATGATGTCGGCACACTGGCAAATCAGCCCATCCTAAAACCAAAGATATGCATGTCACACTTTGGGGTACAAGAACCATCAATAGCATTGTAAACTGCATGGTCTGAGTTATCCGATACTGAATTACCCTTAATATGACATTAGTTACCAGCTGTAGAAGTGAAGCCGCGGCCAGGATGGGGACCACTTTAGCAGGTTCCAGCATGACATCATCTCGATACAAAGATCCTAAGGCCACTTCAAGTGCTGATAAAAACATGACCAAAAAAAAAAAAAAATATACAGAGCAAGTATTCAGACAGATCTCTTCTATATTGCGCGGTGCTTTTGAGAAGAACAGATGAGTGTGAACTCGAACGTTCTAACCAAGATACTCCGGTCGTCCTCAGGAGAGTCAAGCCTAGCTTAGCCTCCACCATGCAAAGTTTCCAATCTTACTTATTCATTTTTAATTTACCATTTGTGACCACTACCACAAGTTCCACCTTCAAAAGCATCAGCCGGCTTGATACCATCCAAAATAACAGCCGTTTCCTTTTTCCATTAAAATAATAGCACCTTTCCTGGCTTGCAAATGAATTACAGTCCTGAGATTCTTTTCCTCCTGCAACGCTTTTGTAAGTACTCAAAAACGAAACTTGAATTGAAGTGGGCATGTGGAATATCAATATTTGTTTTACAATGCATTATCTCTCTGAAGTTACCGAGCCATGAAATTAAGTCGGGACTCTGTCTAGTGTACGACCAATACACAGATGATCCATGTTATTCTGAATCTTACCAGCAATATCTATGTTGCTGTCGGGAATATCCATCTTAATCTCCTTTAGGTTAGATTCCTTCCACGAACCGCTGAACATGCTGGCAAAATAGCTGGACTGAAAGTTACCCAATAAAACAACTTGGCTTTAGACCACCTCAAGTGAACCTATTTTGACTGAAGCCAGATTTATACTTGGAGCAAATTTTACAGCTGACACTTTTTTGTTAAGTCTGAACCAACCTTTAACGGTTTCCACCTTGCATTAATGGCCTGTATGTTTGCTACATAAAGATACCCCCAATAAACTGTTGTCAGAGAAGTAAGCTGAATTATCAATATCAGAATCAAAACTGGTTTCCCAAATCACACGGATGTACCTGGCAGAGATATATTTTGTGCAGATACCATTCCTTTCCCAGAGCAAAGATCGTTATGTCTGAATTCTCTCCATTAACAAACAGGGTGTCATAAATGTACTTGGATGTTGACTTCAACTTCTTCCTAAGAGAAGAAAAACAATAAATAAACTCCAATATGTTGCAATAGAACCACGCATTGTCAGTCATCAGTGAAAAACATTTCTTTTCATTCTTTTTATGTCAAAATAATATGTTAAAAATATAAGCTAATTCATCCTGCATTTACCCACAAACAGTGGAGAATCACAAAGACATCTAGAAATGAATTTGGTCACTTATTTCAATGAATTCAATTTACATTCATCTCTGTATCTGTATATTTAAGAAACCAATTCTGGCATTAGTGTCAAAGGGACAAAGCTGTCAGTTTTGTGCAAGTGTGGCAAACTTCATCCGGAGTGGGAAAACGGCAAACCTTTTTTTCCCTCAAAGGAGGAAAAGGCAAGTTTTCTACAATTAGCAACCTAGCAGATGGTTTACACCAAGTAGTGAACTGACATACCGATGCAATTTCAGCTCATAAAATCAAGTGGATGTTTAGTTATGCCTCTGGATATCCCGGATAAATTTTTCGAAAGAAATCCCTATGAATCGGGACAGGGCCCAGTATACGGCAGAGGAGTATTCCTCGGGCCCTGTTTACAGGTCTAGAGTGCAATGGATGTCAAACCCCACCACAGTCATGACAGTTCTGAGAAAACAAGATTTGCGACTTACTTAAGTACTTAAGTAAGAGTAAATTACCTACTTAAGTAAGAGTAAATTACCAAACATGTAACACTAATATAGCAAAAATGTTATTCTGAAGGACATGTAAGAAGTCTCTTTTTTGCACTTACCTCTGAGGAGTTCTCATAATCTCATCCTCTTCACTATCATCGTCACTGTCATCTCGCCCCCTTTTTTTCTTCTGTTTCGGACTGAATTCTCTGCCACCAAGCCACCCTGGGACCGAAACGTAGCCACCCATTTCCTGCCGACTTTCACCTCAATCAGACTTCAAAGTAACCCTCACCGACCATAGCTTGCTATGTAACAAAATAGCCAACTTACTGATCTCAGGATTGAGGATTCATAGCTTTAAATTAAAAACAACTCACATTTGTAACAACAGAGTCTCAGAGAAAAATGTTTCGGAAGTTCGCCAGTGGAAGCCGCCATGTTGATTCCGCCCTCTAGCATAGGCTGGTACTCCGCGCTAAAAAACAGCATTGTAGAGATAGGTTAATTATACAAAAAAATGTTCGTAGGCGGGGCTCGGGGTGAAGCCTATGAAGGCGGGGGGGGGTTGTATTGCCAGGGTGTTAGCGTTGCACTACAGTGCTGGACAGTGTGCAAAAATAGACAAAAATCTACTGAAGGAATTAGACATAAAGACGCAGGAAACTGATAAATCATCTTCTGAAAAATTTATGAACTTGTAAGAGGAAAGGTGACCGTCGAGTTTCTAGTCAGCTTGTGAACTTGTGGTTAAACCTTTCACATTTGGCTGAATTACTACTGCATTGTAAATCTCTCAAGGCAATTAGGAGATGTTTACTAATCCTCACAGCCTTCCAATAGGAACAAAATAGTGTTTTAGCGCTTGAGAATGGTGGCGCCGACTTGTCCACGACATGGATTTTGTGTGAACCACGTGACAGCAATACGTCTCGCTCATTTGGGAAAGTTGCAGACTGATCCATTTCACAATGGGGGTAGTAATTCAGACAAATTTGTAAGCAGGGTATAACCTGGGGCCATTCAATTTGCAGACGACTAGCCACAGGGTGGAGGGTGACAGTGCTTGAGGCCAAGATTCAGTTTTTAGTAAGATGAGAGAGTTGAATCCATGTTGTGTCATGCATACCAACGATAAGGAGTGATAAACCGAAAACTAATTAATAAAAAAGTCTTTCCACGATCGAGGGTCTCATCTGTGGTTGTTGACGGGAGATCGATGAGATTGGCTGGTAGAAAGTTGTGGAAAGTAGTGAATTTTATATTGAGAAGTTGGTGAGCTGGCGAAAAGTGCTTGCAAACTTTCTCAGGCTTATTCTCGATTTTGGTAGCGAATCACCAACGTGTGGAAGGACCCACCAAATCCAGAAGTCAGGGAAAACAAGGGTAGCCAGCCTGGGGAATGTGAGCTACCATGCACACTCTACCGTGACCAGAGAGAAAGCCCTACCGTTAGTGGCAGACATCATAATAGCAGAGATGCTGCATCCAACAGTTCCACCCTTTCTCGAGGGGGCAAGTGAGATCTTGTCTGTCTCCCTGAGGTGCTGTGGATACGCTCCAGAGTCCTCAACAATAGTACAGTGACCGCAGGTCATGCGGCAAAGGCCAAACCGACCGCTCACATCAAGACACGGAACAATGGCCCCCGTGTTGTCCCTCTTTGACTCAATTAGTGGGTGATTCCTCGTTGAATGACAGCCAACCACTTGTCGTACACGCTCTAATGTCCCTGGCACACGACTGGATCAGCTTGCCAAACGGCTTTGTCCGTGTTTGGGACAGGTCCAGACAGATATTGTTGACTGTGTCCCCATCTAAAGCCAAACACACTCCAAATAGAAAACACAAATTGTCCAAAATAGTCAGACACCATTGTGCCCGCCAAAACCGTCGAAACCTGGATGCCCTTTAAGCGCCCTCTTTTGTTTTCCCCACCGATATAAGTTTCCCACCCGGGGTCAGAAGTGGTACTTTCCAAGATCTTCGTCCTCAGACAACATTGCTCAAATCTCCAAGTCCTACCAACAGCGTTTTTCACAAAGTGAATTTTGGAGTGGCCACTTAAGTTAATTCGAACTGCATACCATTTTCCCCTCGAGACACTTGACCGAAGCTCCGGAAGATATCAAGAATGGCCAAGAACTTGACCAGCTTCGGTGGGGGTGTTGGCTTCACTGGACCCCACCGTTCCGTCATCGTCTGCTCGCTGTTCGCCGTGTTAACTTCGTGTCACGCCTTCGATGCCCTGTTCCTGAACAATCCGGCTGCCGTAGGGACGCTCTACGACCGACGGGAGAAGCGAGACGCCCCAATGCCTAGGCTCCGAGACTTCGAAGGCGAGTTGGACTTTCTTACCTCCTTCGAACTCCAACACGGCGTGGACTTTGCTGCCAACCACACCACGCCCAAGTACATGTTGGACCTGTACAGTTCCATAGAGACAGGGCAAAATCTGGTGCATCCCTCGATGGAAGAGAAACGGGCCATCACTGAGTCAGACACCGTACGAGGTTTCGCTGCAACTGTCGTTGGTAAGTCTTTGTTTTTCTCCGTAAAATCACATTTTCCTGCAATTCTAGTTTAATATCAAACTTTCCAAGCTCCCACAATTGATGTGTAGAATGACAAGATGAGCGGTGCTTTTCTCATATCTGATCATCATGGTGTATTTTATGCCAAATTATGAACCACCAGTGTGAAATAATGTCTGGATGAAGTTACATTCGTGCCAGATAAAATGTTTTAATTTCCTTTGAAACATTCACCAAGCACTGTTTTTCCATCCCTTCGTAACCGAGGAGAAATCCGATGTCAACATGTCATATTTCATCGTTTTCCCGTGACTGAACTTCACAACTGACGAGGAAATTTCGTGCATGAATGTCTCTCTTTTGGGAAAAAAAATGTCCTCCTGTACATCTGCGAGGAATCGCCTAAATTAATGTTGCAATTGAGTTTTGTATGTCACTTCGTTTTGAATGTCAAAATTCATCAAACTTTGATGTTAACTCTCAAAGAAAAGAACTTTCAAAATCTTTGCTATATGTAATTTCTCAAAGAAAACGGAATCAACCAGTAATATCACCGCCTGACCATTATGTTTTGACCGGTTTCTGACAGACATTTTATTTTGGTGGGGAAAAGTACTAGGATAGTTTATCGCTTAACAGAAAAGGTAATTATCCTTAGAACTTAAAAGCGATTGTGTTCTCCACTTAAGACCTCCACACTTTGATTCAGCAACCTTGTTAGTAACCAAGCTTTTAATTCGAGTTCAAAAACACTTAAATGAAGAACCTACTTCAAGAAAAACTGCACACTTCAAGAGCAAACTCGAGCGAACCCTCAGCGTAAGGTGAGGATTCGTACGGAATCCTCTTGACTTAATTTTGTTATTCAAACAGCAATTAAGCCGTCTGCAAACTAGCTGAAGGCCGCCAAACGAGCTTGCTTATAATCGCCATCTAGCTAATTTGTAGCGGGGCAAACGACCCGGCCACTTAAGCTTATTCCCGGCCCCGTCTTTTCATACTAGCCTTTCTTTATTGTGCTAAGTGAAGTGGCTCACCACAGGAGCTTATGTTGCTGGGACATAGACCTAATTTCCTGGGTGTCTAAAAGAGATTAACTTGTAAGCTCTTGTAAGCGAAATTTAGAAAATGTCGGCCAGTGGGAAAGTGCATAATGACTATTAACGCCAGCCTGTTATTTGTTTGAACCTGTACAAAGCCAACTTCGAGTCCTGAAATTGCCCACTTTTGTTTTTCAGAAACGCTGCAAAATATTATATGGAAAATATGACCACGATAATGCTTAGTTTTTGAACTTATTTGAATGTGACTTTAGATTTATGAAGACTTGATTCAAAAGGGACTTGAAATCGAACACTTAATCTCAAAGTCAGGATACTTGCCGACTAGAAATTGTTTAAGTGAGAAATTTATTCCTGAATAATTATTACTTGTTCTCCTAAATTCAGAATCCAACAGCACATCCAGAGCTGACTTTACCAAGGTGTGGGTCGCTAAATTCCGGGTCACCTCCATCTCAGAGCTGGTGGAACGAGTCCGTCTGGCCGAGCTTCGAATCCTGCTGAACCGTTCCTGGCGCGAGTTCACCATTCAAGTCGCTGTCCACCACTGGGCACCCACCCCCTGCCCGCACGACCCCACCCTCTTCGAATGCCTCAAGAAGCAGTTGCTGATCTCTGGCCTGATCCCGTCGCACCGCCATGACGACTACGACGGGCGAGAAGTGTTCGATGTCACCGAGGGACTGCGACACTGGTTTACCGAGAGCCCGACCTGGCGAGGCGAGTACGAACTGGAGATACGCACCGTGCACAGCGTCCAGAACCCCGAGGACTTGGCTGTTGAAGACTCGCATGAGGAGTCTTCTTCGTATTCATCCTTGTCCTCATCTGTAGAAGAAGAACCAACGCTGGATCAGACTGCTTCCAGTTCCATTGCTCTTGAGGACGTGGTGCTGGTGGTGTTCTCCCGAGCTGTGCAACCCGTCAGCATCACCCACGACGCAGCCGGCTCTGTCAAAGTCCGCACTCCCCGGTCCCCGAGGTCACCCCGCAAAAAGAAGTACAAGAAGCCCACCTCGAGCGCCAGAGCAGAGCAGGAACGCCTCATTCAAGAGAAACTCCTCCGTGAACTCTTTGCAAGTAAGCATGAGACAGGACCCTGCCGTCGAGTGCCTATGGACGTGGATTTCTATAACAGCGACTGGGGACGCTGGATCGTCTACCCGAAGCGCTTCAACGCCTATCGCTGTGCCGGGCGGTGTTCCGGACCTTTGGGTTCCAAAGACAATCCCAGCAACCACGCCATTATGCAAAACATGGTACGTGCTAGCCGGCCAGACCGGGCGCCAGAGCCTTGCTGTATACCCACCAAGCTGTCTCCGTTGAGCATGATTTACCTGGAAAACGGGAACATCATTATGAAACACCATGAGGACATGATAGTAGAGGAGTGTGGTTGCAGATGAACTCGGACTTTAGAAGATCTTTTTGAACTTTTAGATGTTCTTTCATCTGATAGTGAGAAAAATGCGTTGCTAATGATCTGAGACTTTACCTGATCTTGTCAATCTTTAATCGACGAATGATTTTAAGCTATTAAAAGAACTTAAAACCAAAACTCTTCTTCACAAAAGCTTACCTCATAAAATGCTTTTATCTTTTTAAGTAACATTTGCATGAATTTAAATTGACTATGTTGTAATAAACATCATTTGTGTCTATTTACATTTACACGAAAAATATCCAACCTTTTTAAAGAATTTCCTTTCAGAAAGGTAAACCTACTCACTCCAAGAAACAGACGAGAGAAATCTAACAACTTCACATTTCAAATTCTTGACTTTGGTGACCACTGTAATATTCTTTATCAAATCAAAACATGACGTGGGGTTTAAATCTCTAATTGATTCGTTCAAATTATTAAAAAAAGTGAATATAACCTGTGGACACAATTTACCAATCTTTTAAAACTTCTTTGGAAAAATTCAGTGATAGGCTAATTAAATTCCAGTAAGCACAAATACCTGTATTGGGAATTTTGATTATGAGTATCACATTATTTGAAATCAATAAAACGTAATGATGGCATTTTGATGATAAAATCAACAACAATAAGATAAATTCAATTCTCTGAAATGAAAATTGAAACACAAATTATAAATATGAAAAACGAATGCTATGCATTTTAAAAGTCATTTTTTAATTATATTAAAAAATAAACCTCGTATGTTTTCGCAGAAATGCCTTCCAAATTAATTGAATTTTGATCAGTTTCTTACTTTTACCAATCAAAAACTTAAACATTTTGTACAAATTGTAAAATACAGAAAAGAAATTATGTACGATTTAATGACAGTGATTTAATCCTTGTAAAGATTGAACTCATCACTGTAAATAAATAATCAAAATTTGAAAGTTGAACGTAAGAACGTTCAGTTGTCATGCTTTAGTTGTTTTTACATCGCAACTCCAAATTATGCCTTGAGAGTGTTGGTGAGATTGTAAAGACAAGGAAACTTGTTATCGAAAAAAAATGTATCCAGTATCAAACCAGGTATCAGCAATCACTAGTGCCTTTGATAAATGGGTTTCTTTACGTGGGCTCGAGGACATCTCTTGGCTACTGCTGGAAATTGCGGTCCTATGGTGGTGGCTGCGGCAGTTCCCATTATGGCGTGTGTAAATTCGGCCGTGCGTAGCCATGTGATTTGGACACGGCCATAGATTCATGGAAAGTTATCAAAATGGCTTCCATGTGAATTAGTTCTGTGAATCCTGACAGAGGGCGACATTTTCTATAGTTGGTAAGCATGTTGGCAAGTGGTTGTGTCGCCTCATTACTGAGTCAGTTCTGACAACAGAGGGCGAAATTTACACTTGCAACATTTTTTGTCGCTTGAAAACTTTGAGACCGAAAGTACTTATCGGGAATGACAATTAAAAAAATTCTGAGTTTAAGCGTGCCTAGCTCTTCACAGAGTCAGTAGTTTTATAAAATAAATGCTACTCAATATGACCAAAATGACTGAAAGATTACAAGGACTTTAATGTGAAAGAATAAGCAATAGTCCAGCTAAATAATTTTACAACTAAAGACTAAATCTGTTCACAGAATTTGTTGGATGCATGTTTCCCTGAGGTTCGCGTTGCTATGGCTCTAACATTAATACGGGCTGGTACGATTCCCTAATTTCTTTTACGCCAACAATTTGTGATTGAATCGTACAGATGCAGTCAAGGTAAAAATTAAAAAATCGTTCCCATGGTATTAGTCGACTGTTCTTGAGGGGCAGAGCCGCAAGCTTAGCCGCGAAATTCAGTCAGCCGCGCCGTGTGTCTCTCCGATCGAGTCGTGCTATCAATTTTCCCAATCGGCCGTGGGTCTCGCCGTGGCGAGTTAGCCTTCCAATTATCCATCTGGAGGGGGATCTCCACTCAAGGACATCACAGTTTCATCAAATACAGACACATATCAGGGAACAAAAATTGTTCTTAGAGGTTAAATCTAAAGGTCATGACCTTTATCAAACTGAATATACATCCATTCTGTCTTCATAAATCGAAAGTTACAGAGATGTAAAAATGGATACGGTAAAACTAAATCAAATTTGAGTGAAATCAAATGAGAGGATGCTAATGGACTGGGATTTGATGAGCACAGCATGCTACGAGCTAGGATGACGATGAAGTAACCTGCAGATTAAAATAAATGACTGATTTTTAAAGCTAGACTCATGGCATCTGTGGGGCTGCCATTAACAAATGACATGATCCGTTTCATTGGTTGCCCAGAAGGGTTGAAAAAGGGGCGGGGCATGCCATGATAGGAGGGGGAACACAATCACGCATTTAATTTTAAAAATGAGACATCTTTTTTCATGATACAATGTTAAATTTGAGAAGAACAAGTAAGTTTGAAAGTATTCAAAGAGGAGTGAACTTGCAACTCTGTTATCAACACTCCCTCATTTTGCAGACCGTCTCCTCATACTTTCTTTTTAAGATTACTTTGAAAAGTACTCTTATTTTGTCAAAACCAAACATTTATGGATAAATTATCCTCATAGAAAGATCAAAATTTGGTCTCTGGGATTGAGGTTGTTTGGAGCATTCAGTAACCTCCTGAAGAGTGTCAAGGGTCATTTTATATCCTGCTTTTCAGCGTTTGAGGGTGGAATTAAAACAAAAGGTTAACTTAAATATATGGCAGGTAGCGTAGCGTTTCTTTTGTCTATCAAAAATGCGAGCGCTGCAAAGAGGAAAAAGGTCATAAAGCGACTGACATCAATATAACATCCGCGCAAGATTAAGCGGAGAAAAGATTATCGACTAATATGGAGGAGGAAAAGATGTCCATCAGAAAAGTATGCCGGGAAAAATGTACATAAGGCATATTAATGTCATTCTCCCTAAAATGACATCAAAGCAATAGCGCCCTCATTTGTAAGGGAAGCTACAGAAAATATTCAAAAGTTTCGTTGGAATAGCTGAAATTTACATCAGCATGCAATAAGAAGGTAAATATGTATTACGAACAAAATTATGCAGGACAAACAAAATTGGTCTGGCTGAATTAATGGCGGATCAGACACCCACAATGGCATTACGGGACTCCACACTTGCATCTTTGAGTAACACTGGTTTGAGCTGTAAAAGTCGTATTTACTAAAAAAATATCGACCTGCCAGTTGCTTCTAACTACAGTCTAGATTCAGTTTGAGCAATAAATTATTGATGATTGCTTTTGCTGCACGCTTCAATGTCACGCGGAATGTCTAAAATCAGGCGTGTCTGATTAATTCCAATGCTCGTGCGGCTTTTAAAAATGTCAAATACATCAAATAATTCATCTTAATTTCCTAGGTGCACTCGCACGAACGCTGCGTTTATGTAGCGTGTGTTATTGGTAATCATTAACTTTATCTTATTTACTTGTGTTTCGTATGCACGGGGCAAATGCACTTTTTGAAGGGATTCGTCACTTAAAAACAGAAAGGATTGGTGAGTGAAGATTTTTTTCTGGTATAATAGTGGATGATCGAGGACATTCCAAAGCTAATTACGACTTTGGTAACTTGATTTTTGTAATGATTTTCAACTTCTCAACAACTGAGGGCACTCCAAGAATACATTCCCTTGATAAAACAAATTTAACCTCCTAGTAATTAGCAATCACGATAGTGTCAAGACCTTATCATTGGAAAAACATAAGCTGGCTACTGAAAACATCACAGAAACAAATCACATTTCCACGAAAACCAAACTGAACTTGGCAAGATGTCCGTGCCAACTGCCAGAATTATTATGTAAACGTACAAGCCCACGATTCGATCTTACATCAACACCATGGGAACCTTCAGATTAGTAATTAAAAAAACCAAACAAGGTGACGTGCCGTTAGACGGGTCCATCGTGGAGAAGACACTTGGATTGGTGAATGGAATGTCGTAGGTTCACATCCTGTCCAAGGTGCACTCTAGGGGTGGGGGGGAGGGCTTGATCTCCCCCGGGGGATTAAATCCCTATCCCCTATTGCGGTACGACAGGGTGTCTTGACCACCATGAGCAACATGTATTTGGGGGTGATATTCCGGTTCAAGTTCCCCGACATATCTAAGTTCACCACTGTGCTACGTGTGAATACTTGCCTTAACGCTTTGTGATACAGAACTGATGAAAGGGGGAATTAGCCGTCATCAAACAATTTTTCTCAGCTCAGATAGTGGAAAGAAAGTTTGATTTGTATTTAGTTCTCCCGACTGAAAACGAAATACTCAGGTGCTGCAACACGAACCTGAAAACGAGACGGTACAAAAAAGAACCTCCACCTCTTGACTACACACTTTGATTATCGGCTGCTCGCACGGTATTTACTTTGATCTTCTGTTCCCTCTGCAATTGTGAAATGAAAACACTCCTCCATGACAGACGGTGTTACTTAACTCATGAAGCAGCCAGGCTTGAACGATCCAAAGACCCTGACACCTCAGAACAGTGAAGTGCAATGCAGTCGTTCGTCCCATGAACGCTGGCAACGATACACGCAGAGAAACTCAACAGCTGTGGTATTTACCTTACTAATTGGATGGGGTCCGAATTCACACCTGTTCATTTCCCCCATATCGCCGCACTGGTGCATTGTTTTCGCCGACGTTAGTGACATCACGTTATTATGTCGTTTCAACCTTTCAACTCAAATTTCTCCAAATTCTGATGAGCCGTTTGCGATGTGGTTTTGAAAGTCAGTCTATTTCACTTGCTTTGCGCCAATATATAGGCCCACGAAGCTTGCACTTAAAAAAACATTTGGGTGGCAGTGTATATTAAATATTGTACACAGAACAACGGAGAAAGTAATTATGAGCCATTCATCTTTCTTTTTATTGATTAAATGTCGTACATGCATGATTCCAGCAATTATACATTATGTAAACAATAGGAATACATGTAGGCCTGTGTCCATTGTCGAAAATCAGGCCAAATTTCCACCTTTCTGAATGCCAACAAAATGACTCGTACAAATTTTCATGACTTATTCTTTGTTTTGGATGGAGTAGACCATGCTACCACTGATTTTAGGGACGGTCCAGGCAACTTTAGAGAAGCAGCCCGGAGAAATATTTCAACCTGTGGTCACGGACCTGCTGATCAATCGTCGTTGGTTTCCATAACCCTCCAGCGTGCTCTGCTTCCCTAATAGTCATTTATTTCTAGCCGTACTGACCTGGTGTCTACGATAGCTGTGATGAAGGAGACACCACGCGTCGCGTGCCGGGTTTACGTGCGCGGTACCGAATCTGTGCACGTAATACGCTCGGAGATAAAGCTTTTTCCTATGGGGGCCCACTGGCCCATCCTTCATAAGGTGTCTCTTTCGTAGTGGTACTTCACTGGACTTTTTTTTGTCAAGGGATAGTCTGTACCCGTACGATCATTTATTTCTAGGAAATTTCAAACAAGGCCCATCCGGCGGCTGCAGCAGCAAAAACAGTCTTACGGCAAAGCTAGGGAATGGATTTCTGGACTTCAAGTCGGAAGAGCTTTCACGAAGTTTTATTTTTCAGTATTTGGAGTTACAACTTCAACAACAATCTTATCAGGGGCGACGAAAGCTAGAACTAGCGGGCCACATTTTTAGATCGGTAAGTACTTTATTTATTCAATTCACTACCGGTTTTATGTTTCTGTTAGTTATTTTCTGTATTCCAATTCAGTCAAATTTTTTACTATGGGTGGGTATGTGATGTCGAACTGTAAATTCCCTTTTTTGCTTTTAAAACTGACAAGGACGAAGCATGTTTGGAAACAAAATATTTGATTAACTGATTTTGTTTTTTCTAAATTTAGAATTCAGTTCATGCCTTAGAATCTTCGCTATTTTGAATTTATTTTCGGGCAAACAAGCCTAACTTTTTTAAAGGATGGTTTTCCTGGGGACACGTTGGAGTGATTTAAAAAAAAGAGCATCAACTAATTTTTATTCAACTGGAAGTTAACTTGGACGTTTCAATAAGCGTCGTCTGAGAAAATATAAAATACATTCTATAAGATTCCAAGCACCCTTCCATGTTTCTTGGACTGTGGAGGGCATACGACGTATTTGCTTGAAATTCTGCACTAATAACAAAACATCACAAAGTGACAAACAGGTGCACATTTCGGATACGATAGCAAGTCAAACTGTTTATTGGTCTGTAATTAGATTACCACAAACTGGGCGGCTGCGTCGGATGTTATCGGGCAAAACAGACGGTGTACCGAGCTACAGAAAGGCAGTTGCGCACGTCTCAAAAGGGGTGTGGTGGTATGTCACGTCATATCTTCTTTAAAATGGATAATATGGCCGTACGCACTAAATTGGATAATCTTTTAATCCTCCTGGCAGGGGCAGGAAATTTCCTTAAGTTGACTCCGAAATAATTGATACTTAACTACGAGCGCCGATTACCAAAGCGCGTATTGTGTTAATGAAGCAATGAAATTAAAATTGGGTTTCAAAAAGGTAAGCCCTGATAAAATAACCTCTATACTGGTCTGCATTCATGCTTAAAACTTAATTGCAGCTTATAAGCTGATGATGCTAATAAGAGATATTTTTTGGAATACCCACAGTCTTTTTCTCTTTTAATTTATCATCAATATTTGATGCATTAATTTGACCAGTTCATTATTAGCATAAAAATTGCTACAGTTTTTTTTACCAGATTTTAAGTTTCCAAAATTTAGGAAGTGCTCAGTAGGGAAAGAATAATGGCCAATTACAAAGTGGGCAGGGGAAATGCTCTGGCTTGGCCCATCTAGCGGTACTATTGGACGATTGTTTCTGCAGTTCAATTAATTAGATTAAAGAAAGATTTATTTTCCACTGGCAATGAAAACAATGATTCTACAAGGCGGTAATTAAAACTTGGAAGGAAGAGGATATGAAAAAGGGGGAACATTTTCGGTTTTAAGTGGTAGAAACTGCTGTATGATATTCCAGGGATGCAGGAATCTATACTTATGAAACCAGTCCACTTATTTATGGGCCTGTTAACGGGATTTGACAAACCTGATTGAAATGCGACTGCTTACACGAGGCTTTTCAGTGTATAAAAAATAAGGGAATATAATAGAAAAAAGCTATACTTTTATAAAAAAAAAATAAGTAAGATACACCTACACAATTAAATTTATTGCAACAAGTTCAATTATTTTTAGTATCAGTTTTGTTTTTCACTGAAGTCGAGAGCACTCTGACAACTTGTGGCAAAAACTGACAAACCTACTCGGGTGAGACTCGAAAATACGACTCTCACTTGACAAGTGCTTGTACAAGCACAGACGCCCACGTTATCAGCGAGCTTACCAGTAACATATATGTCACATAGGCGCACATAATCTACGTACCTGAAGCCTTCAAATTATATTTCAAAGGGAGGTACGTTTGCCAAAACAAATTGTGTAACGGTGCTGGGATAGCAGTTGTTATTTTGCTAGCAGTTGCCACCTGACTTGTGTATAACCAACGAACGTGTCCCTTTAAACAAGTGCTAGCTTTAGTTAGCGCACAATTTGGTATTTCACGAGTAGGCGCCATCGTCGCTGTATCAAATCAGCCAGAACTCGATCATACATGATCGCTCGGGTGTTGCTGGGATTATCGTTCCAAGCTGTTCTAGCTGATAATGTCTCGCACGCACACCATCATCACTAAACTTAGCAGATATCCCCTGGGAAAAGTACTTATGAATAAAGAAAATAGGAGAATGTATTTATCTCAACATTCGCTCAGTGCATCGAGTGAATGTTATCATATAAGAGATCTTTATTTAATATGGCCAAACGAAAGATTCGGTTTCCAGTTGGGATCATGCATATAACATGTTCCCACAGACCCTCTCTGCGTTATCACGGCTATACAGGCTTGTCTTTGAGCATAATCCAACCCGATATCTATTCTAATGACACAACTCTTTGATGTCGCCCGTTTATGACAATTCCACTTTACGAACACGACCCTTCGAGCGACTGGTCCTCTGATTCCTTGAAATTTCTTCTTCTTCACATATTAATAGGACTGCAAATATTTTCGGAGCTGTAAGACATTTTTGACAAGCAAACTGCAATAAATGAATGAATAATTCATTCATTATTTTGTAATCTGGGAAAAGGAGTCAAACATTAAAGAAACATCAAATCCAAATACAAAAGGAGAGCCACTGAATCAAAGAATTTTTGGACCAAATTCAGAATGTTAGCATTGGAATCAGTTTGCTCAATATTAAGTATCTTAATTGGTAATAAAGTCGCTTTGATGTGTATAGTTAGAGTACAAGTTTATGTAAGCAATGAATGATAAAAACTCGATAAAGTCACGGTTGAAAACAAATACAAAACACGCTGCCTTAAATAATAGTCATCACATTTGTTTCCTTCGAAAGCCAAAAAGCAACCCCTAAGAAGACGTATAAATCATGACTTCTAAGTTCTAGGGCAGCTCAATGATTTATTCATCCGTCCCAGACGTGATTACGTGTGAAATGAAAAGCTAATATTTAGCTAAACTCGGAGGGACCGTTGCTCGCCAGCAGAGTAGCTAGCAATGCGTGGCGTGTTAGGCCTGTTTTGATAGCACTAATCACTCTGGTCTCCACCGAGAGAGTCATTCATGTCGTACTTCTGGTTCCTGTTGATCTGCCCTTTTTGGAGTAGGATTATTCAGATGTGACTTGGGAATCGTGGATTTGTAAGGGGGGCATCTCAACTAGAGTTGTTTTCTGCTGGGTGCGGAATTGAATCCTCCGATCACCAAAGTGTGAATGTTCCCACCAGTGCCTGTCAGGGCGGTTTCAGTTTCCGCCCGGAAAATCCCCCCGGTTTCTCTCAAAATCACATTTCCTTCCTAGTTATCTCTCAAAGGGCAGCCAGAAAGCACTCTCATTGTCCTTTTGTTGCTTCAGAGTAGATCGAGACGTTGCTTCTCGGAAAGGTAAACAAAGCTGAAAAGGCACCAAGTCCTCCGAGGTAGACAATCAAAAATTTACAAAATTACAGATGGCCCTATGCAGAAGAACTGATATCAAATATTCACCAATAGAGGCTTTTCATGGTAGCCATCCTGCAGGGCAGTTGTTTTGTTCTACAGGGAAACCTCTATTGTGCATACCCTCTGGAACAAAAGCGCTGGCCTGCAAAATGACAGCCACGCAAAACCTCTGTAGGAAATTTAATGTTATTGCCATATCGGTTGAATTTATAGAGCTATTTTCCGCCTCCTCAAAGCATCAAACCACATTCAATTAATGACGAAAAGATATTTCACAGGGAGATAGCGGTATGTCATTGTTGTAAAGTGGCTTGCTTACGGACACAGTGAACTTGCGTGTGTAGAAATCTGTGTTAGCAACCCTGCTAAACACCAAACAGGCAGATTCAGAGGAAAAAGATCAATTAAACCTCGAAATCAGAATGACGTATATGCACAGAAAATATTTTATTGACATGGAAGAAGAAAGAAGGAGTTATAAGTTTATCATGTCTTTATACAAAGCAAAAATGTTTCGAACGAGGCGTATCAAAAACAGCAATCGTTTATCTTTGTGGATATGCATTATAAATGATTTCATAAATACGTTCTTGAGAAGGCAAGGAAAAACGTCTCCAAGATACAAAGACCTGAGGATGGGCTTTTCAAGAGTGCATCCCAGCCAATTCACCGTCACCTTAGAGACAAATCTCCCAGGGGGGACGCAGAGAAAGGCTGTATATGTACTCCGTCCAAACAATACAAAACGAAGAAGGGTGAGCTAAGGCAACGAATCAATATGTGCATGATTGTAGGTGCAGGAAGGTGAAAAATGTTGGGCCAGACAGGGACAGGCTCGACCGCTGACAAACAGAAAAGAGTTCGGCTATTAATTATGCCGAGAAAAACAGGGTTCACAGAGTAGACGACTGATTCATTTTTCTTTTGGCGTGTTACTAGTGCGGGCAAAAACTGAGTAATTTGGTCGTAGCAATTTAGAATAAGCTGTGCTTTAGTCATGGAATTTCGGGTAGTCATATCACACGTGAGAAAGAACATGCCAGTAAAAAAGGAAAGACCGGAAATTTTTGGCCTGAAAACGGGTTACCCACTGCAATTTACAGGTCTATCTTACAAAGAAGAAAATATACGTCACTGAGTGAGAAGGGTAAAGTCTATTTAGCAATTTGAAGAACGTTGTTTTTTATTTTGCAACAAGTTCATCACTGGTCAGAAATGAAATGTTGCCTTAAAATGCCCACTTATTCTACCAAAGATCAAGAGAGGGGTATTATTTCTGTATTCAGCATTTAGCTGTGGTATTTATTAAGTTGTAACCTATATGTTTCAGCGACTGCTAGGGATTTTTAAGCACCTTATGATTCAAATTATTGGCGAGCATGGCAAAAACTAAGATTGTGACGTAGAAAGAAATGGTTCCACATGTGTAGCTAATGCGTTTGTGGAGAAAGAAAAACACCTTCGTTAGAAGGATACTCCCATTTCGTCCCCTTAGATCTCCATAGCCACTGCCGTTTGATCTTGTTATTTATAACTTGTCATTTTGAACCGATGTCGTACGTTGTGGCTGCTATTGTTTATTCCATTTTCTCTCCATTTTATCTCCATCTTAGT